ACATTTAAAAATTGGATTATATTTTTAAAATAGGATAAAGAATTCTATGCTTCTCATGTTTGCACATAAGTCCAAAAATCTCACTATATACAACCTTGAAGCAGGACAGTCCCACAATATTCCTTTTCCGGTCTCTTGCTTTCATTCACCACCCCCTTCTTCTTGAACATCCACCTACCCAAGAGACATCAGCGCAGTAACTGGCATGTCATGACAAGCTGCCCATATTCAGAATACCAGAATGACAGGCACTCCAAACATGAAACTACTATTACAAATTACCATCTGCAGTGCAGTATCTTAGTTCACAAGTATCATCATATATAGTCAGGGTGGGTCAAATTACCTCTTGTCTCAAAATAACTCCACTTTGGTCATCTGGTGCTGGAGAAGCTCAGGGGAACCCAGTAACAGTCTGAATGGAAGTTGGATCTGCAGGGAGGAGCCATCAGTGTGAGCCCAGGCACAAACCTTACTTCTGACATGGTCAAGACCAACTGACCATGCTTTTCATAGCTGAGGGATAGGCAGTCCTGGAGAGGGTGCCAGGGAACACTCAGTGTGATCAAGTTGCCCAAAAGCCAGCACTTCTTGACTCTGCACAGGAGCAGCTGCAGTGAGACCGTGGTGAGACTTTAGCTGCTGAGTCCTTGGGTTCTTCATCCTGCTCTGACTCATTTCCCTCTCTTTAGAGTGTTGAAACTGTATACTTGAACACAGTTTTACAACCTAAAATGCCTATAAATATTCATCATGGCAACCAAAACTTACAGAGTATCTAAAAGTCTACTGGTTCATGCAAGAAAATTAAAGAAATTTGTCCGTGCATGCGATATTTTTCACATGGAAAGAAATGAAATCAACACACTTTTTATTGCATTAATATGCTTGGATACATATCAATGCAAAAATTCATATCAAATCACCCCTTTGTATGATTCTGCTGACACATGACATCAATATTTTTCATATCATTGCACACCAAAGCAAAGCAAAAACTTCCAAGGAGCATGGAGTCCTGAATTACACAGTGAATAATTAGAATTAATCACCAGATTTCTGGTGGTGTAGAACAGATTAAGCATTTTTCTAGTAGACTCAGAAATGATTTAATACAAAATTCCATGTAATTGTATTTGGAAGAATTGATCTCTCTTTATACAGTAAAACTCATGCAGAGTATCATTTAAAAAGTTAAACTAAAATCTATAGCATATATTACTGGAGAATAAAGTGCAAAACCTAGCCTACAGTTCAAGACTTATTGTAAAAATCAGTGATACACTGATATTGACACCACGCACAGCTGTATAAACATAACAGAATGGCGAACAGACAGCATTACTGGATTTAAGTCTCTATTCATGAAATGATATACACACAAAATAATTTCATACCTCAGTCAGTGCATTGAGGGCACCAGGGTGAACAGCAGGAACATGTCCCAGCCACAGGTGTGGCACAGTAGTACAGCAGAACAAGTGCCTTGTGGCATCACAGGGGAGGGTTCCCATGGGCGTGTTCTATTTCCAAAGTAGACAAATAACACTAATGCAGTGGTGAAGATATTGGGAACTTACATCTTTTGGCTGAAGAGGTCATATACAGAGTTATTCCTGCATCTAAAGCTAGTGCCTATTCACAGGAGGTCGGAACGTGCAGTCCCATGGTCAGCATCTCCCAGCACGAGGGGCAGGGCTGGACTTTGCTCTCCATAATAAATTGTTCATGACACCTCAGACACAGTTTGCTGACTCACAGACAAACTGAGAATCTCAGCTCATGGAGGAACTGCATAAAGAGATCTAATTAGTGGCACAGCTAGTAGCCATTTACCATGCCTATCTAAGGTAATCTGTAAAGTAATTGTTGTAGAACTCAGTAGAAAGGGGTCATGAGATCCCTTGCTGTATAATACTGGAAGACATTTTAGTGCACCAATAACAAAGATGTTGTGGGTCTGCTGACTGTGCAAGACTTACCTGAAGTCAAGTGCCACCTCCATGACTCATTTGAGAGCCTATTAGTCCCAGGCTTTGTGCTCAGTTGTGAATTTCTTCTTTTTTTAAAGAGTTTATTTTTATGTATGTATGTATGTATGTATGTGTGTGTGTGTGTGTGTGGCCAGCTCAGCCCACCAGGGGGTGGGGCTGGCTGGCATGTGGTGCTGGGGGATTGAACTGTGGTCCCTGTGTTATGTTAAGCTTGTTCTAAGTAGGTGCCCTAGACCACTGAGCCATCTCACCAGCCCCCCAGCTGTGAATTTCATGTAGCATTATCTCCACCAAATGGCAAGTCTGGAAACTCCAGGTGTCCCTATGGCAACTTAAATTCCCAAAGAAATAATGCATCACTGCAAACCTGAGTTGGATTTCACAAGACTAAAGATTCCAGTACACTACTGCAAATATCTATTGTGAGGTAGTAAAAATGTTGGGAAGTTTGAGGTGAAAAAGATATCTTCACAGAAACCCATGAACATATATAGTTGATTGCATTTCACATACATAAAGACAAATACAATCATGAGTGTCTAATGGTCAGTAAAATTTATAACTTTTGGTCCTGAGATTTGCTTTGCCCAGTCCAATGAGAGGAGAACATTCAACTGGTGGCTTGAAATATGGCAATAGAGGAATGTGTAAAGGGAGAGAGGAGAACAAAAAATCATTTAAAGCAGGACTTTGAAATGGATGTGTAGATATGCACATGGAACACAACATGATGGTATGTGCTATTCACATGTAGTTATACACATGTGTTGTCTATACGTCACAAGACTGTTCTCCCTGGGACCTTTGTGCTAGCCATCATTCATCTGTAAGTACAGCCAGCTCATGACCAGCTTTTCCTCTTCATGTCCTCTCCTGGAGTGGGAGGCTCTGGGCCTGAAGCAAAGGACCCCAGGGACACCACTGAGATCTTTGAGAGCCAATGAACATCTTCCACCCAGAGGCAGACTCCAAATTTGCACTTCTTCTATATTCTTTCCACCTTCATATAAAAGAATGTACCCCTCATCCCTACAAATGCTTTGGAGCTACCAAATAAACTCACATTGAATTCTGGATTACTTCCCACTTGCATGTCAATATTTAAGACATTCTCAAGCCTTATAAAGCTATTCTCAATAACCTGGAACAATGCAGGTTCCTTTGCTTTATGGTGGAGGCTCCCAGATGTGACTTTTGGAAACTTCAGACAGGATCATGTGAGGGTTCTGTATGTGATCTCAAGACTCATCGTGTTCTTGATAATAAGACAGGAGAGACTTCATTTTGTGAAATTTCAGTTTAAGAGAAGCTACTTAAGTTCACTTAAAATGTAGATGAACTCATTCCTTCAATCCTTCTCATGTAGGTGATCAGAAACCCAATAAGAGAAATATAACATCATAAAAATAGAAATAAATAGGACAACTTGGGAATAGGATAAACATTAAACCACAATGCACCATGGCTAGAAGATGATCAGTGGTGTGGGGAAAATGTAAACCTTGAGACAATTATGTAGGATTGTTCTCAAATTCCTGAAAATGAGGTAATGTAGTTACAACTGAAACCTAAGATATGTATAACCTGGAGTTGAAGTCCAAATGGGGCTGACATTTTCTAGGGTTTCTTGTCTTTTTTCCTAACATGACAAGGAGGCAGCATTCAGAATCAGTTGCTACTTCTCAGGATCAAGAAGATGGTGCTGCTTGACACCAGGAGGGGGTGGGTGCTCAGCATAAGTAGGGAAAGTTCTGGACCAGGACAAGGGCCCTGAGGCTCTGCAGAGAACCAGGAGTGGTCCTATGGGGAGATGCATGTAAGGAGGCTGAGGAATGAGGGCTTCCTCTCAATCTGAATTTCCCTTCTGTCTCAGCTTCATATACATTGGGGAGAACATATATTGTACCCTCTCCCATGCTAATATGAAGTCTCCCAACTCCAGACAATCAAAGGAATTTCTGTGGGGATAGAGTGCATTTACACATGTATTTTTCATCCTAGTATGAATTTCTGTGGGAAGGCCTAAACAATTTTCATATACTGGTAATAAAACTGCAATTCTTGGGCCAGCAAGAGAGCCCAGTCGAATAAGCACTTGCCTGGCAAGCTCAGGGTCCTGAGTTCAATTCCCAGTACACACACACACAAAAAAAAAAAGATAAGAAAGCTGTAATTCTTAAGAATTTAGAAACTTGGGAATACAGAGTTATCTTGATCATTATATGAAACAAATCTGCTATTTTAGCCACCATGTGAGGGATATTCTCATGCAGTAATAACTATCTTGGTTCAGGAAAGTCTAGAATAAAAGAAGTTATAAGAAAGGCAATTATGGAAAAGGAAAGGAAAATTTATGAGAACTCATGCATTGTATATTAGAGATATTAAATACTTATGATATTTCAGAGAGAAAAGAACCACAGAGAGCTCTTATCTTTATTCAGAAAAAAAAACCCAAAAGAGGATGCCAGGTTTCTGAACATGTGTTAGAAAAGATACCGTTTGTCAATTCTATTATGAGCATATTGGAATATAGTACAATCCTGACATATTTCTTTCTTTCTTTTTTTATTTCTTTTTGGCAGAACTGGGAATTGAACTCAGGCCCTTGCACATGCCAGGCACATGCTTATCCTATTGATCTATCTCCCCAGGCCCCTGATGTGTTTCCTCATCATAAGAAGTCTGGAAATCATCATGGAGCATAAACAGCATATCTTGGAATTGCTCAGACAATAATTGAGAACTGTGAGCAGGATTGTAGGATCTATCCCTTGGGATGTCTTCCTAATACAAGAGAGCACATCTCATAAGACATTACGCTTCTCCCTCTCTATTCACAATTGCAAATGTGTGAAATCACCAAATCCATTAATTACACATATGTATGAAAAAGAAAAACAGTTACCATTAAGTGTTTACCACTCTATAGACATAGGAGGAAAACATGTATTCTGTACCATTAGGGATATTCCAAATATCTCTAAAACCTGTCATGTGTTTTAGACTCTTTCCTTTATGAGGTTTCTTAAATAAGACTGGTTATACTGCAGGAGCACATGCAAATAGGACCTCCCTCTGCTGTTAAAAACCAGCCCAGCCATGACCCTGTAGCTCTGCAGAGGAGCCCAGCCCTAGATGCCCAGCTGTGCTCTCTTGGTGGTCCGTACTGAGCACAGACAGCTCACCATGAAGCTGGCACTGAACTGGATTTGTCTTCTTGCCATTTTAAAAGGTAGTTCATGGGAAACAAGAGGTGCTGTGTGTGTGAGGGGCACAAGCGGGATAAACGATGGACATGTGTGACATTTTTCTGAGCTGGATGTCTCTGTGTTTATAGGTGTCCAGTCTGGGGTGCAGCTGGTGGAGTCTGAGGAAGCTTGGTGGCTCCTGGGGGATCCCTGAGCCTCTCCTGTGTGGCCTCTGGATTCACCTTCAGTGATTATGAGATGAGCTGGATCTGCCAGGCTCCAGGGAATGGACTGGAGTGGATGTCAACTATCACTGAGACTGGAGTGTACACATATTATGCAAACTCTGTCAAGGGCCGATTCACCATCTCCAGAAACAATGGCAAGAACACGTTGTATCTGCAAATGACCAAACTCCAAACTGAGGACACAGCTGTTTATTACTGTGCAAGAAACACAGTCAGTGAAACCTCAGGATGAGCCTTTCATAAACCTCCTTGCAGGGGTGCTTAGCTTCAGCAGTGGGTGCGCGAGATACACCTAACATGGAGATTACCAGAAGCGTATAGGCATTTACCATTTAATTACTTTAAAGAAGCAAATACAAGCTATACAAAAATAAATCAAGTTGTGCATGAAAAAATAAATAAATAAAATATCCCCATTATTGCAAAAAAAAAGATATTATGTGTAAAATTCTCTTTAAATTCCCTAACTCAGTCTCCACAAATGACACATTCGCCAACATGAAGACTTTTGATTTTTATTGTATAGTGAATTGGTTTGTTTTCTTTTTTCTTTTTGGTTTGTTTTCTTTTATAAAAATAACTGGCTGGTAGTCACTTTAAATCTTAAAAAGAATTAATGAGATTGTATGTTAATTAATTTCACTATTATTTTGTCACTTAGTTTCATAAGTGGTAGTTAAAAGTAAGAACAACTTTAAATATTCTTTATGTTAATAAAAACAAATGTCGTTGTATAAATTAGTTATTAATTTCCCTTGGTGTGTAATTATATTAATTATACTATTGCAAAAAACTTGTTTTATGGTGTTAAAAACATTTAATTACTTTAGGTTGGCATTATGTCATTTTTGAAAACAATGTTGGAAGGTAAAACTAACAGAAAAGCATCAAAAATTAAAATCCAAACTATGTAAAACCCTCACTAAAACTCCAAATAATTGATTTGATTGATTGGTTTCATAAAAGGGCCAAAGACAAGAAATGTAGTAAAATAAAATAATGTAATAAAATTGGTAATTTTCTGTGGTTGAAACTGTACATTTTGCATTCTGTGTCCATTTCACAATGAAGGAAATATCTTTTTCAATGTTTTATAACATTGTGTAAAATGATAAAAGTACAATATAAACATATATTTTTATTTTATATATTTTATTGTGTATAAAACATAGTTGATAAACACCTAAAATATTCAGGTGTAATAGGGTTGAGATTCCACAGAATCAAATGTTCCTATTATGTGTAACTATCAACGCATGTGCACGTTAAGTCTCAAAATTATTCAAATAATTAAACACATAACTATAAAAATGGTACAGTGTATATTGTATACAAATTTTAAAAGCTCTATGTGTAACAGAAAAACAAAGCAGTGACACATTCCAAGTGACACAAAATAATGGAAAGGACACCATGAGGCCTGCTGACCTTCGTGCTGACCCTGACTGGCCCTGGGTGTGAGGCTGTGAAGGTGTGAGATAAGGAAAGAGATGATCAGGGAGCAGTGCACGGCCACTTGATTTTGCCTCACCTGGCACTGAGTTGTTCCTGCTGATTTCCTCAAGTGCTTAGATGTAGGTTTTTGTAAAATTGTTACAATTATAAAGCTGATTGAACTTTATGTGATACTGTAAGCTTCATTTGAAATGTAGGTGAAGGTTTGCAAGTGGATTCTTTCTATTTTATTATATTCTTTTGAAATTAAAATAGGGAAAATGATGTGTATGGAAGGAAAGGAAGTTACTGAAATCATCAGAGAGATGGACTACACAAATGCGTAGTATGATACAAAGAGGTCTGGTTAATCTGGATTATTAAAAATAATGTTTTCAGGGGACAGCCAGATAGCTCAGCAGATTAAAGTGCCTGTTTAGGCAGACACAAGGGTCAGAGGTTCAATGCCCTGCCTGCCATGCTGGCCCAGTGCCTGGGGTGCGCTGAGAAGTGAATGAGACTGGGCGTGGTGGTGTGCACCTGTAATCCCAGCGCTTGGGAAGCTGAAAGCCCGATAATCAGTACAAGTTGGACTTGTGTAGTGAGACGCTGTAGACCCTGCACTAAACACAAAAACAAAACAAAACAAAATAATGTTTTCCACAATAAAAATCACAAAAATTTATGGTGTGAAAAAATTAGCATGGTATATTTTTATGTCAAAATAAGAAAACACCCAATACTTATACCTTCTATTTGATTTAAATAGCATAAATCTCTAATATTGACAGCAATATTTGCTGACATTCAGAACTTGCATCATTTTTTATCTCAGAATCTTTAGACTAATGCTGAAGACTGCCTTAAAGCAAATTATGCAATTATGATGTGTAAATATGTTTTAAAAGTAAAGGTCAAAAAAAAAGGCAAAGGTTAGATAATTAGAAAAGTTGTCAAATTTATTAATATTGTCAGATTTGGCAAATTTGCATTGAGATTACGTGGGGAAATAATAAAATTTAATTCGACGCATTTGTCTCTCTTCCTATCTTTGTTAATATTCCACAGAGTGAGTGAACGAGATGCTTGGGCAAGGACACAGTGAGATGAGCTGATCTTACTTGACTAAATAAACATGAAGGAAAACAAGGATTTTTCTGTTCTTTAGACTTATTCCAGTACTTAAAAAAAGAAAAAGAAGGGCTGGCCAGATAGCTCAGCAGACCAAAGCACCTGCTCAGGCAGAGCTCGGTGGCCGGGCTTTGATCCCCAGTGTGCTGTGCTGGCCCCACCCCTGGGGTGCACTGAGATGGCAATTGAGACTGGGCATGGTCGTGCACACCTGTAATCCCAGCTCTTTTTTAAATTTTTAAAATTTATTTTTACTTTTTATTATTAATTTTATTGAGAAACAAATAGCAATGAGATAGTTTCAAAAATGATTAGTAGGACAGTTTCAATAATTAATACATTGCATGTTGTTGTCTTTGGTTATTCATAGTACAAGATGCAGGCATGATATCCTGTCTCTTGGGAGGCTGAAAACAGGAGGATCACTGAGTCTGATTTATTTAGACTGTACTAAACCAGCACTTCTTGGGACTCCACACAACAGAACTTTCACTAAGACCCTGCAGACACTTTTGATGCTGATACCCTTGGACTTGCTTAAGCTTCATCATTTTCTGACTCATTTTGCTCTGTGTCATAGTGTTGAAAGTGCACATTTTCACATAGTCATACAAGTTAACATTCCTATAAATATTCCTCATGACAACCAAAACTCAGAAAGCATCTAAGTCTATCAGTCCACAGAGGATGATCAAAGAAATTATTTCCATGCATGGGATATTTTTACTCTTAAAAATGACATCAATATCCCCTTTAAATGCATGAATATGCATTGAAACATGCTAACACATACAAAAAAACACCTTCTGTGTCACTTTGCTGACATATAACATCAGAATTTTTTGTATAATTGCACACAAACAGAACAGCTTTCAAGAACTGTGGGGGTCATGAATTACACAACGAATAATTAGAATTAATCACCAGTTTTCTTGTGGTATGGAACAGATTAAGCCTTCTTCTGGTAGAATGAGAAATGATTCAATATGCAAAATCTTATGTAATTGTATTTGCAAACTTTGACCTTACTATATGTGCATAAAACTCATCCAGAACACCATTAGGAAAGATAAAACAAAAAGCTATATCACACAGTGTATTACTAAAGAAAACAGTGCAAAAATCTAACCTATAGTTTATGAACTATTGTACAAAATCAGTAATAGAATGATGTTGACACCATGTTCAGGTGGATACACATAATAGGATGAAAGGAGTTCAGTATGCTGGATTCAAGTCTCTATTAATGAAATGATATGGATATAAAGGAATTTCAAAAAATCGATATACATCAGTCAATGAATTGAGATGGCACCAGGCTGAAGAGCAAGAACTTGGCCCAATCACAGGTGTGACACTATAGTACAGCAGAACAGTTGCCTTGTGGCATCACAGATGAGGGCTCTGCTAGGTCTATTCTCTTTTCAAATGCAGTGGTGATGACCTTGGACACTTGTACTCAGCTGAGGTAACATACAGTGTTGCTCTTGCATCCAGCACTGATACCTCTTCACTGGAGGTTAGAATGTTCAGTCCCACGCTCTGGGTGTCCCAGTATGAGGGGCGAGGCTGGACTTTGAACTCCATAATGAATTGTTCATGAATTCTCAACCACAGCTTCCTGACTCACAGGCAAACAGAATGTCAGCTCATGGAGAATTCTTAAAGAGATCTAATTAATGGCACTGGTAGTTTCCATGTACCACGCTGACCTTAGGTATTCCATAAAGTGTTTGCTATAGAACTCCATAGCAAGGAATCAGGAGATGCCTTGCTGTATTTTACTGGGAAAACTTGTAATGCACAATTGTAAAGAAGTACTGGGTCCCGTGGCTGTGTAAGGGTTATCTGAAGGCAAGTGCCATCTCCATCACTGAGTTGAGGCCTTTCAGCATCATGCTTTCTTCTCAGGTCTGAGTTTTGTATACAACATTATTCTCCACCAAGCAGGGAGTCTGACAGCTGCAAGGTCGTCATCAAACAATTTAAATTGCTACAGAAATAATGCATCACTGTAAAGCGGAGTTGAATTTCATGAGGCCAGAAATTACAGTACAGAAATGGAAATATTTATTATGAGGCAGAAAAACTGTAGGCAAGTTTGAGGTGAAAAATATATTCTAACAGAAACTGAGGAACACACCTATCTGAGTGCATTTCACATGCATAAAGACAAATACAATCAATTGAGATTCCAAAAATCTATAAAATTTATAAGAAAATTTGATCTTGAGACAAGTTTTTCCCAGTTCAATGAATGATAACATTCAACTGCTGGCCTGAAAACCTTGGAATATACCAGTTTAGCATATTCTCTTTGAGCTCACTAATGAGCAAAGGGAGAGTGGAAAATGAAAATTCATTTAAGCCAGGACCTTGAAATGGATGTGTAGGTATGCACATGGAATGTGATCTGATGGTATGTGTTATTCACACGTGCCTAGGCATGTGTGCTGTACGTACCTCACAGGCCTATTATCTCTGGGAACACTTTGCTAGTCTTCATGTTGTGAAAGCCATCCTCATCTGTAAGCATAGGCAGCCCCGCGACCAGCTTTTGCTCTTCGAGTCCTCTCCCAGAGTGGGAGGCTCTATGCCTCAAGCAATGGACCTCAGAGACATCATTCTTCACCTTAAGGCAGACTCCAATAATTGTACTTCTTCTAGGTCCTTTCCACCTTCATATACAAGAGTGCAATCTTCATGCAAATGCTTTGGAGCTATTAGATAAGCTCATATTGCATCTTGGATTAATTTTCTTTGGTATCTCAATATTTAAGATATTCTCAGAGATTTACAGGGCTAATCTCACAAATATGGAATAAAGCAGGTTTCTTTTTTATTGTGGAGACTCTCAGATGTGATTGTTGCAAAAATGCAGACAGGATAATGTTATTAATCTGTCTGTGATCTCAGGAATCACTGTGTTCTTGGGAGGGCCAAAAGAGGCTCTATTTTTTTTTTTTTTTTTTTTTGGCACTCCATTTTAAAAGAAATCACTTAAGTTCACTTAAAATGTAGATGAACTTAATACTTCACCACTTTTCATGTAGCTGATCATAAGTCCACTAAGAAAAAGATAAGGTTATAAAAATAGAAATAAATACTTAAATCAACTTGGGAATAGGTAAACATTAAACCCAATGTTCGGGGCCGGGGAGATAGCCCAGTAGAAAAATCGCTTGCCTGGCAAGCACAAGGTCCTGAGTTCAGTCCCTGGTACCACACAAAAAAACAAAAACAAAAACAAAAAAAACAAAACAAAAACAAAAACAAAAACAAAAAACCCAAAAAATACACCAACACACACACACACACACACACACACACACACACACACAATGTTCATGGCCGGAAGATGGTCAACCATGTTTGGGAAATGTAAATCTGTGACAATGATGTGGCATTCTTGTCAAATTCCTGAGAATGAGGTAATGTGATTACTAGTCAAACCTAAAATGTGTATAAGCAGGATGTAAAGACTAAACAGGGCTAACATTTTCTCTGGCTTCTGGTCATTGTTCCTGAAACAGGGAGTGCATAAAATCACATATTGCTTCTTAGGAGCAAGAAGAGGGGGCTACTTGAGACCCCAAAGGGGTGCTTAACCAATGTTGAGAAAGCTCTGTACCACAACAAAGACCCTCAGGCTCTGCAGAGAACCAGGAACTATCCTACTAAGAGCTATACAGAAGGAATCTTCCAGGAGTGAGCACCTCCTGTCAATATGAGTTTCCATCTGTCTCAACATCAGATCCACTGGGAAGAACTCACATTGTGTCCTTCCTAGTGCAGATATGGATTTTTCAGCCTCCAGAAACAAAAGGGCTTTCTCTACATGCAATGAATATTTACACGTGTATTTTCATCTCCATATGAATTTCTGTGGGAGAGCTAAAACAGCTTTCATACATTGGATATAAAACTGTAAATATTAAGACTATAGAAGCTCTGGGTTACAGAATTATCTTGATCATCATGTAAAATGAATCTGATATTTTGTCATGATGGGGTGGGACAGTCTCATGCAGCAATAAATAATTCTCTACAGGAAAAAAAATTATAGGAAAGAACTTTAATGGAAGAAATGAAAGGAAAATTTGTGATAAGTGGTGTACTCTAGCGAGACTATCTTTATTCAGAGAAAAGAAAATTCCAGATTCTCTAACATATGCTAGAAAAAGACAACTGCTTGTGAATGTTATTATGAACATCGTGGAATACAGTAAGATACTGTCACTTCTTCTCAGCAGAAGAAGAGGTCTGTCAATCAGCATGAGGCATGACCACTATGTTTTGGAATTGCTGTCAACTATTGAGTACTGTGGGCAGGACTGTAGGACCTATTACATGGGACATTTTTTTTTTATAACATATGAGTTGGCTTGTCTTAGGTCACTATGCTTCTCACTCTGTTCATATTTGCAAATGTGTGAAATTACCATATCCATTAATTGCATGAAAATTGGTTAGGAGGAAATAGAGTATTCTATAATTTCAGAGATATTCCAAAACACCTCTCAAAACCGTCATGGGTTTTGGAATCCTCTCTCTAAGGCTTATATAATCTAATGGCAGTGTAACAGGAGGCCATGCAAATAGGGCCTCCCTCTGCTAATGAAAAGCAGCCCAGCCCTGACCCTGCAGCTCTGCAGAGGAGCCCAGCCCTGGGAGCCCAGCTGTTCTCACTCTTTGATGAAGACTGAGCACAGACAGGACACCATGAAGCTGGCGCTGAACTGTGTTTTCCTACTTGTGATTTTGAAAGGTAATTCATGAAAGAACCCAAGAGATTCTGAATTGTGAGTGGCACGAGTGAGGTAAATAATGGAGGTGTGTTACATTTTCCCGAGTAGGATATCTTTCTGTTTGCAGGTGTCCAGGCTGAGGTGCAGCTGGTGGAGTCCGGAGGCGGGTTGGTGCAGCCTGGGGTGTCCCTGAGACTCTCCTGCGTGGCCTCGGGATTCACCTTTAGTAGCTATCACATGCACTGGATCCGCCAGGCTTCAGGGAAGGGACTGGAGTGGATCTCATCTCTCAGTGAGACTGGAAAATACACATATTATGCAGATTCTGTCAAGGGCCGATTTACCATCTCTAGAGACAACGGCAAGAATACGGCGTATCTGCAAATGAACAGCCTGAAAACCGAGGACACGGCCGTGTACTACTGTACGAGAAACACAGTGAGGGAAACCTCAGTGTGAACCAGTCATAAACCTGTCGTCAGGAGTGTTTAGAACCAGCAGGGGGCGCGCAAGACACACAGAGCATAGCGATTACCCAAACAGCACATGTATTTAACTTTTAGTTATTTTAGATTGACATTATGTCGTTATAATAATACTAATAATAATGATAATAATAATTCTAGAGTGTAAAAGTAAGAGTAAAGCACAAAAATTTAAAATCCAAAGTGTGTAAAATCCCAAGCACCACTCCAAATAATTCGCTTGATTCATTGGTTAACTAAAAGCTCCCCAAAACAAAATTCAGTAAAATAAAATACTGCAACGCAATTGGCAATTTTCTGTTATTGAAACTGTGCATTTAGCATTTTGTATCTATTGCGGAATGAGGAAAAGCTCTTTTTGAATGTTTTATAACATAACATAACACAAGATAAAAATTCAGTGTAAATAGAATATTATTTCATTCATATATTTTCTTTATGATAAAGCATAAGTGACACCTTTGATGTTCAGGTGTAATAGGGTTGAGATGACACTCAATGAAATATCCCTTTTTGTTGTTGTTATTTTAGGGAAGGGTCTACAGGGTGTTCAGGGTTTCACTACTAGATTGACTCATAGTGATCTAACTGTTTACAGCAGCCCAAGAGCTGGGCTTACAGATGCACACCACCACACCCAGTCTCAATTGCCATCTCAGAGCACCCTGGGGGCAGGGCCAGCATAGTAGGCTCGGGGATCGAACCCCTGGCCCCTGCACCTGCTTGCAGATGCTTTAATCCACCAAACTATTTGGCTGACCATGTTCCTGTTATTTTTAACTATCATTGAAAATGAGTAAATCTTAAAATCACTCAATTAATTAAACACATAAAATAAAAATTGGACAGTGTATACCATATATGAATTTTAAAATGGTTTATGTGTAATTGAAAAAGCAAAGCAGTGATACAGTAAGCCAAGGCTAGCTGAGTAAAATACAGTGACTGCCTCTTGCAAATTCAATGAAGTGGAAACCACTACAGGGGAGGCAAGATCATGGAAAGGACATGGTGGGGCTGGTGAGATGACTCAGTGGTCTAAAGCACCTACTTAGAACAAGCTAAGCTAAGCAAAGCACAGTGACAGTGGTTCAATCCCCCAGCACCACATGCCAGCCAACCCCACCTCCTGGTGGGCTGAGCTGGCCACACACAGACACAAAATAAATAAATAAATAAATAAATAAATATTAAAAAAAAAAGAAAGGACATGGTGAGGCCTCATGACTTTCACTCTGACCTTGACTGACCTTGACTGTGAGGCTGTGAAGATGTGGAACAGGAAAGTGATGACAAGTGGGAAGTGCACTTCAGATTTGCTGCCTCTGGTTCTGAAGAGTTAATGCTGGTTTCCACAGTTGAGTAAAAGCATTGCATACAAATAGCTTTAACTACAAAACTGATTGAAATTTATGACGTTGGGATATCACTGAAGTATAATTGAGTATTTACATATACATTAATTCTAGTTTCTAGTTTTTCATATCCTTTTAAGTTGAAAATAGAGAACAAAATATGTGTATGGAAGAAGGAGCACGTACTAGAATCATGACAGAGATGCACTATATGAATGTGTATTATGATATAAAGAAGTCTGCTTAAGTTTATGTCACAAAAATAATAATTTTCTGCAATAAAAAAGTAAATATATAGCCCTCAACCTGCCCACTGAACAGGAATTTCTGGGAACCCCCAGACCAGTTCTAGCCTAGGCCCGGTGAGTGTGTGAGAGAACTTCTGGCTACCCTGTGCCAGCGGGACCTATTACTGGCCCCAGCCCCGGTGCAGAGTGGGTGAGACTCTCTTTCACCCCCTTGGGACACCCCCAACCACTCCGCAGCACCTCCCCCACCCCACCTGCCCAGTAGGAATTTCTGCCATGCTCCAGAAACCCCCAGTCCCAGTCCTAGCCCAAGCCCGATCTGCACCTGAACTTCAGTACTTGCTAAGGTTATAACTACAATGAAGATCTACAACAAAGGTCAGAAGACAGTGCTACACAAAATGACGAGAATGAACAAAATGCAACCTCAGAACCCAAGGCCACCCATAACAAGTGCAGAGGACACTAACACAGAACAAATTGGGAATCACACAGCTGAAGGCAATGAATCAATGGCTTCTGAAATAAAGAAACAGCTGCAGAAATGTATAGAGGAACACAGATTGGAAATAAAAAAAGAAATCCCTGAATTAATAACATCTGCAGTAAAGAATCAAATGCAGATACATATGGAGGAAACCAATTGCCCACCCAGAAAAAGTGGAGAGAACACTAGCTCGGCTCAAATGCATGAATTAATAGCATCGATAGTAAATAAGCAACAACAGAAAGTTATAGAGGAACTCAGAGCGCAATTCTTTTCTGAAATAAAGAAAGAGTTGTCAGAACTCATAGCACCTGAAGTAAAGAAGCAACTACAGAAACATAGGGAGGAAACCCAATCTGAAAAAAAACACTGAAGTAAAAGAATTTATAACTGCTTTTAAAGAAGACATTGAAAAAAAATAGAAGAGATTAGAAAAATGGTGGATTCCTTGAATGAGCAATTCAGGAAAGAAATAGATCTCATGAAGCAGAGTAAAAGAGATATAGAGGAAATTAAAACCTCAACCACAAGCTTGCAAAACAGTTTTAGTGAAAGTGAAGACAGAGATTCAGATCTAGAAGATGTTAGTGCAGCTAGTGAAAAGGTAAGAAAGGATCTCTTAAAAACGAGGATGCAGGAAAGAATAATTCATCACCTGCAAGATGATGCAAAGATGAACAATGTGAGACTAATAGGCATCAATGAGAAAGAAGG